ATCGACGTAAAAGTAAACGTTAACATAACATTTGGCAATGCCACTTACCATCACACGGCATATGTATCAGAGATCACAGATCCTTGTATACCCGGATTGGACTTTCTAAGGAAATATAATTTTTCCTTGGACTTTAAAAATAATGAATTGCATTCTGCATCTGAGGACATAGCTCTATTTTTAATTAAGAATGAAGGAGTTAAATCTATCCACAAAAATCATAGCTTAAGACGATATCACAATGCCTGCTAAGAACAGAGATTCTACTTCCTGGATCCATAGCCAAAAATAGAAATTTCCACTACGGCATCATAGAAAATCCCAATAACTGTAATAGCCCAAAAGGAGTACTAGTAGCTTGAGCACTCGTCGACCTATTGAGAGCGGTTATCCCGGTGAGAGTGGCCAATGTAACTGAGAAGGCGAGAGTTATTAAGGAAGGTGCACTGGTTGCAGCATGTACTCCAGTGAGCAGTATTAAACGAAAGAGTAACCGTCCAGAATCCGTCTCTTCAGAAAGCATTACATCAGAGTTACTGCAGAAGGCGCAATTAAACAATGAAGAGAGGAATGCTGCCGATCGTGTCATTAAAGATCTTCAAGATGTTTTCTCCCACTCATCTTCTGACGTGGGTCGAACCAGTTTGACACAACATAGAATCGATACCTGCGATCATTCCCCGATCTAGCAACATCCAAGGCGTGTACTGATTGTTAAACAGGAAGAGGTACGAACACTTTTAAATGATGGCAATGTCATTGAGCCTTCAGCAAGTCCATGGGCATCTCCCATCGTTCTTGTCAGAAAGAAAGATGGCTCAACAAGATTTTGCGTTGACTATCGCCGGTTGAATGAGGTTACGAAGAAAGACAGTTACCCTCTTCCTAGAATTGACAACATTCTGGACACTCTTTCTGGAAGAAAGTGGTTCTCAACACTTGATTTAAAGAGTGGGTATTGGCAGGTAAAAATACATCCTGATGACCGAGAAAAGACGGCATTTACTACGGACAAGGACTTTGGCAGTTCAAGGTGATGCCATTTGGACTCTGTAATGCGCCGGCGACATTCGAACGTCTATGGAGACTGTTTTGAAAGGCCTTTCCTACGAAGGTGCCTGACTGATATACCTGGACGATCATCATCGTCGGAAAGACTTTTGAAGAACATCTAGAAAATTTTAGAAAGGTGCTTCAAAAACTGAAGGAAGCCAATCTAAAGTTGTCCCACTAAATGCAAATTATTCAGACAGGAACTGACGTACCTAGGACATGTGTGTCCTAGGTCTCTGAAGAAGTGTGTGTGCACGGATCCTGAAAAGGTTTCAGCCGTTAAATCCTGGAAATGTCCCGAAAATGTCTATCAGCTGAGAAGCTTCCTAGGGCTTTGTGCCTACTATAGGATATTCGTGAAGAATTTTATTTCCATCGCAAGACCCCTTCACAAGCTGACAGAGAGCAAGCAAAAGTTCTTGTGGACAAAAAAATGCGAGGATGCATTTAACAACTTAAAGGATACTATAACATGTACTCCTATCCTGACGTATCCTCACCACTACAGACCATTTATTCTTGACATGGACGCGAGCAGTGAAAGTGTCGGTGCTGTTTTGTCCCAAGAAATAGACGGCCAAGAACATGTAGTGGTGTACTGGACATTAAACCCATAATTGATTTAAGGGAGTCATCGAACAGAAAACCTACATGGCAGGACATTTCTATTTATAGTTCTACAACAAAACAATACTGGCACTCTGGGATTTACTTCACATTTGAAATGGCATCTTATATCGAATTGAATGATTGGAATACGTTCCGTTGGCAACTGATACTTCCAAGATCCCGGATTCTTGATGTGCTTAAAGAACTACATAACAGCCCTACAGGAGGTCACTTTGGAATAATGAAGACCTGCAGAGAGTTCTTGAGCACTTTTACTGGAGTAATGTGAAGGATGACATGCAAAAGCGGTGCCGAACTTGCGATGCCTGTGCAGGTCGGAAAGGACTGAAGAGACGCAGCTGAGGCAAGCTGCAATGTTACAATGTAGGTGCACCTTTTGAACATATCGCCTTTGATATCTTGGGATCTCTGTCACAAACTGCTGATGGCAACAAATACATGCTTGTTGTCATTGATTACTTCACCAAGTGGCCTGAAGCGTTTCTTATTCCTGATCAAGAGCCTGTCACAGTAGCTGAGGTGATGATACAGCACTGGATTTCCAGGTTTGGAGTGCCTCTTCAGTTACATTCAGATCATGTAAGGAATTTTACGTCTGCAGTAATCAAAGAACTATGCAAACTACTTGGCAGTGACAAAACCCAAAGAATGCCATTACATCCCCAGTCAGACGGCATGGCAGAGAGGTTTAATCGAACCATCCTTAATAACCTCTCATTAGTGGTTTCCAGAAACCAACAGGACTGGGATAAGAAATTACCACTGTTTTTACTGGCTTACCGCAGTGCTGTCCACGATACTAGCGGCTACTCCCCATCACAGGTGCTCTTCGGTCGTGACCTTTGTCTGCCTTGTGATCTCTTGTTTGGTCGCCCTCGGGATGCTCCTTCATCGCCTGAGGATTATATTCAAGATCTCCAGGCCCGGTTTGAAGTGATGCACAACTTTGCACAAGAGCGAGTCAACTTGGCGACGGAGAAGATGAAGACCCAATATGACACAAGGGCTACTGAACATCAATTCCACGGAGGAGACAAGGTGTGGTTGTGGAATCCGACTTGACGGAAAGGACTCTGTCTGAAATTACAGTCATCTTGGGATGGTCCGTACACAGTCCTAAACAGGCTGAATGACATCGTGGTTCGGATCCGTAAGTCTTCGAACTCTAAACCTAAAGTCGTTCATTACGACAGGTTAGCTCATTACTATGGCCATAGTACGTAGTGCAAGTAAATGTAAATATTGTAAGACCATGGTCCTTTTTGTTTCTAAATACGTATTTGATTTGATTTGTATTTAGTATTTAATAGCATATGATTTGTTTAAGTTATTTATTGCATTTATTGTTCATGTTGTTTATTATTGCATTTAGGCCTTACTTGTAAATTTGGCTTCCTGTCCAGGGATTGTACTGCCCGGGACGTGCAGTCCTTGGGAAGGGGGCAGTGTTACAGATTTGGTATTTAAATAGCTAATGTTAGTTGAATTATAAATTAAATTGTTTTATTCCCTGTGCAGAGCAGCGCGTGACGAATATTAAAGGAAAGTTAAGCCAGAAAATTAAAAATACAAGACTACGTGCATTTAACATTTAATAAATAAATATCTTTCAAGAAAGTTCCAGAAAATTATTGCGCATTTAAAAAGCTTATATAAGTGACATGAAAACCTCTCAATTCATTGTTGTAGTTAGTCAGTTTCTTGTTGTTTTAAGTGTGTTTAGAAAACCGCTGTTATTGGTTGTAGCAAATTCGCGGATTAGCTTTCTTTAGCTGTTTTGAATTGAGTTCTCTTGAACGTTTGAGTAGTTAAAAGATAACTACTGTGAGATATTGTAATACTGCATGGACATCTGAGGAAATTTAAGCATTTTTGTTGTAATAATAATAAAATTTGTTCGTTTTTCATCGGGCTTGTGCATTTAATTCCAAACGAACCGGTACGCACACAACAGTATTTTTGCCTTGTTGTGAAGCGAGAACTGAATTGATTGAATGAGAGATACTGAATCATCTGTGAGAAACATTCTTTTTTCTTTTGCTCACTTAATTTCTTTTATACATCATTCTAGATTTATTATTGTATTTGAATAGAACATGTGGCAACGATTAGATAATTATATAAATTTTATGCACTAAATTATTAATGATAAAATTATTCAATTTATGCTTCCAAACAGTTTCATATAACTCATTAGTTCCTATCTGAGAAACAGGACTTTTCAAGTTTGTGCGGTTACGCCTTATCTGTCAGAAAAACAATTCATAGCAGGGTCCAGCAGGGGTCTGATCTTTCCCCCGTCTCTATAATGTTTATATCAATGATCTCCCACACCCATTCATTATGAAAATACTCAAATATGCTGACGACACTGTAGTACTGACTGAATCCAGAAATCCCTAGCTCGCTCTAAGTAATTTACAAATCATCTCAGTATCATCAATCAATGGTACAAGACTTTGACAATTAAGCTCAATGCCTCTAACTGTTGTATTGTGCTCTATCAGAGATACAAAACAAGATTAAGAGTCAATACTGATACCTACTTAGATAGAACTCTAATCCCCGTAGCTAATTCCTATAAATATTTAGGTGTTTACATTGATAAGTCTCTTAACTTCAAAAACTTCAAAGATCATATTTCTTTCATCTTAAACAAAGCAAATGCAGTCTACATGGTAATTTATCCTATTATCGACAAAAAATCAAAGCTCAGTCTAAAAATAAAGAAAATGCTGTACATATCTCTACTTCGATCGATCATGCTATATGCAGTGCAGGCCTGGGCAATCACCAATAAAAATGAGTGCAAAAAACTAGATATACTTAAAAGTAAAATTCTACGTAGCATTGTGAATGCACCTTGGTACATGAGAAACTCTATAATTCATAGCGACTTTGATATTCCATCTTTGCATAACTTTATACTCATGACAGCTCACAACTTCTTCGAGAAGATGAAGCATAGTCAGTATGACGCAATTAAACAAATGTTGGATTATGATCCAACCATTGAATACACTGTCAAATGCTCAAGGACAATTCGTCATGGTGGTAACTTGTAAATTTTAATTTTAAAATTTACTTGAACTCTGAATGTTTTTCGCACCGACCACAGGTCATGAACTTTGATTAATTTTCTCTGATAGAAAAACTGGATTCTATCCCATTATTTGTGTTGCATCTTATACTTATGTTAATCTATTTTTATTTAAGATTTTTATGTTACTATTTCATTTTTTAATTATTTTGTAGGAATTTTTACTTTATCGTATGATTCTACGTACTTATGAACTTTTTATGGCCTATCTAGCTACTGCATACTTCTGAAGGACTTTGAACTCTTAAGCCATCCATAGCTTTGAACTGTCTTCACGCCATTTTCATGATGTCTCACTACTGTTTATCCTGCACTCTTACTAGCTATATTGCACTCACCATCTGCATTTGCCATATAATTCACTGCACCTGCTTGCATGCTTCAATTTAATGCCATTGCTTATCACTGCACAATTTTTATGATGAATGCCTACTTTCGTAAGTATTAAGATATGCCTGCTCGCAGCTGAATTTTCTTCACCCACGTGTGTTGGTACTTCCCTAGTACCATTTATTTGGAAATATCTTTGCCTAGCGCACTTTAATGCGATCTACTGGCGAAAACTCTTTAGTAGTTAATGACCAGAAAAAAGTAAGTCATAAGTTATAATATGAACGAAATATAACACTGTTAAGTGAACCTAGTGCCAGGGTGTCGCTATGGTAAACAAATATAGTGAATTTTAAAGAGTGCGTTTATTCTATTGTAGTTTATGTGCTATCGACGAAGTAGATTTAATTCAATTCAATAAACTTAAATGAAATGCAAGAAAAAATGTGTATAGTTTAATATTCCATACAAGGAAGTCGTGGTGTACACATCAGATTTTTTTCAAAGGGAAAGTTATTAGTTTGCTATTTTAAGGCATAGCCCTTAACTGAGAACGTAACTCTTTTTTAAAAACAGGGCAAGCATAAGAATTAGAAGTGTGACAGATGTTGTACTGTGTGTGCGTTTTTAAATTTGATCTTAAACAGTTAATACAAGATGGACCCCCTCCTCTTTACAGTTCAGACTACTAAATTAACATGTGTATGAGCACAGTGAGAGCAAAATAAAGAATTTGTACAATTTTGAATATGGTGGCCAAAAGTCTGGCAACCATAGCATCTTAAAATTCAAATATATTTACGAAAACTACAAGAATGGAATCCGACATAAACGCAACCCTTATGACCCAGTAATGTCAAAGACTGTTTGTCTATTTGTAGAATGAAATTCTTATTATTGTCTGTGGATTTAAAAGCTTGTGACAAAAATAAATTAAATTAGTATCTCTTGGCAAGAGCGCCTTAAAAGCACATCTTTGACAGCAGCCTCAGTTACATTAACAGGAACTCCAAATAAAATAATTCTATCCATATGCGATCTGGGTGCTCGTGCCAAAATATTGGCATCTGGAGAAGATGATATCAAATGTTTAAGCTGTTCTTGATGCTCCAGTGGTTTCCAGAAACCAACAGCCACTGGGACAAGAAGTTATTCTGTTTTTACAGAGGTAACTTCTTGTCCTAGTGGCTGTTGGTGGTGGTTATCACAGTTCTGTCCACAAGACTACTGTCTATTCCGCATCGCAGATGTTTTTCTCTTGTGACCTTCACTTGCCTTGTGATTTCTTGTTTGGTTGGCTTCTGAATGCGCCATCATCGCCGGAGGAGTACATCAAAGATCTTCAAACACAGCTTGAAGTGATTCACAATTTTGAACGTGAGCAAGTCAACCTGGCAACAGAAAAGATGAAGACCCGATATGACACAAGAGCTACAGGACATCGCTTAAATGAAGGAGACAAGGTATGATTGTGGAATCCGATTCGACGGAAAGCACTTTGTCTTAAGCTACAGTCGCCTTGGGATGGCCCTTGCACAGTTCTAAACAGGAATTGTTCATCGAATTGTAAGCCCAAAGTTGTTCGTTACAACAGGGTAGCTCCTTACTGCGGCCATAGTATGTAGAATATATAACGGAAATAGTACAAGACCGTGGTCCTTTTTTTTTCTAAATTTGTGGATGCATTTATATATTTAGTATTTGATTTGTTTTAAGCTACTTATTGCAAATATTGTTATCGCTATTTGTTATTGTAATGTAATGTTTATTATATACGTATATTTAAATGGACCTTTGTTACGTACATAACTGGATTGCGACATACGTACTTTTTGTCAACATTGTGCGTTGCTAAGCAACTTTTTTGTTGACATACTGCATTGTTTCAAGAATGCTTTTTTTGTGACTTTTTGGTGGGGATGCCAATAATGAGACAGTACCATGGAAATAATATAATTATTAAGGAAATACGATACTGTTCTATTATCAGGACCGGATCAAGAAATGTGTCTTCATGTATGCATGTAAGCATGAATATATATCTGTATATATGTAATGATATTTTTAAATCAATTTATTAAATTAAATTCTAATAATATTGCTCAATAATGTGTTGGTGATTCTCTACCTAAATTGCATCCCTGTTCCTAAATTTTGGCAAAATCTTTTCTTTAGTATAAATTATATTAACCTGTTGGCGCCCGCCAAATCACCAAACTCATAAATCTGTCATATAACATAGTCCTTAAGAACACTCCTGATGAGAAGATAGCGTCACCTCGTGATTTCAATTAATATCGCTGATTGGATGAGCAGCATGAATCACACGTATCTATAAATAGGGCTTCTCCTCGAGGTACAGGAGGAACACTTGCGAGATGGATGCTAAAATTAACATATCACTTTATATTCCAAAATTTGTCTCATTCCTGTTGCCCCGCCTGCACAACACAAATAATGTATGAGAAAATACATTTCATATACATATACACATACGTAGCCATGCGCATAGGTTCAGACCTTTCTGAATCTGATCCGATAACAGAATGGTACTTAAAATACTTGATAACTCCTGTTTATCCACATCCCCATTGGAAATTCATAAAAAAGTATTCATGAGGCTGCATAGTATATTGTCAAAATAATTATGTGGCAAACTACGTCCTCCAAAATGTTTATGTGATAACTTAGCTACATTCATAGCATTGTTTAGGCTCCTGCACACTACTGAGTTTGTGCAATTCTCCATTTTTTTTTTTAAGCAAAAACAGATCACTAAATAGATAGAAAGAGCAGCAGTGCAAAAGAATTACTGAATGATTGCAGGAAAAATAAATGTTTTATTATTCATGTTTTTTGGCTTTTTAAATGTTTTTTGCATTAATCTGTGTATTTTGAAATTTTTAGTGTGCTGCTATTTTGAAAATGGCTCTTAATTTGGCAAAAAAATTATGAAGGGTCACACTGTGGAAAAAACCTTGTTTTTTTGGAAAGTTGCCATTTTGTGATTTTCCATGAGGTTGTGTATAATCAGAAAGTATTCTTTATTATATAAGACTTATTGGGTACTTACATATTAATATTAGTACAATCACCATGGTGATTTTTTTTACAGATGGAAAGATAGAAATTACTTGTCTAGTGCAAGTTGGCATTCTTCATAAATTTTTTTCAAAAGCATTATCAAACTATTAACCACTTGTGCTAAAAAGATGTGCCACGCACGTCGAGATGCTTTTGTCTCAAACCGCGAGCAAAGTGAACACCATATCGATAGGCATTTATCGCAAAAATGAAAGTAACGTGGTGCACATGTCGGCTAACAACGAGATTGTTTATTTCTCGAGTTACAGCTCTGGATTGCACTCGCAGATGCGGAGCGGTGTAAATGAGACACTTTACCACTTGTTATATTGTAGTGCACGACACCGCAACCGTGAATTTTAGTTGTAGCACAAGTGGTTAATATTTATCACAAGTTGGCAACCATTATTAACATATCGAAAGAAAAAATTAAATTATTAAATAAGGTTTACATGATACATTAAAAAAAGTAAAACAAAATTTTTTCGTGAAATCCTTCTCTAATTTTTTAGCACTGTTCTTTCCATGTACGTAAGGATCTGTTTTCACTTCAAAAAATCAGAGAATTGCAGAAAGTTGGCTTTATGCACCAGCTGTTTACCATTTGCATTTCGTCATCCTTTAGTGATTTTATGCCAAAATACTGCATTGCAGAATTTTTCTTGTTTCTTCCCTTGATGGCAAATTCAACAAGCAATATTGTAAAATTGAGTTGAAGGCCAAAAATGTGATACTTTGTTCATAGAAACCATTGGAATTTGGAATACAACAAAAAGAATGCAAACAAAAGTGGTGAAGTTGCTTAACTAAAGCAGTGGTTTCAAATCCAGATTGCACATGGGCCAAATGCACTAACTGAAAGTAGCTTAACGGCTACAATAAAAGAAAGAAAGAAAAAAATTATTCTTTACCAGCAAGGCGAATATAACTATATTTGCTAAAATATTGTTGATTGTTGTAATTTAGCTTTTAATCTTTAAGTAATTTATTTTAATGTTATTTGTACCATTTAATGTGGCTTCTTCCCTTTATTTATTTAACTAACTTTATATATTATTAGTTAACAATACTTTCAAATTTCAGGCAATTTTTCTGGCATAATCCTGAAATTAAATTCTAACAGTATGGTGACATACTATCATGAAATTTAATGCACATATTTTTTGCTTATGTATGCTGCTAAATAAATATAAAATAACTGAATTTATTTAAAAATATCATTAAATAGATTTCTTTTTTTTTTTTTTTTTTTGTTTAGCTGCAAAATATCTGCAAAAAATGACATATTTAAATTCAGATTTAGGCAGATTCTAATCCTCAATCTTCAGTGGAGAAAACAACTGCTATCAGCTTTAACAAAGAAAAATTTATTAACTAAGTTTTAAAAAAAATTACATATTTTTCAAAGCATACATATAAAAATGAATAATGCAAATTTATACAAATTTTCTGCAACAAACCAAAAAGTTTGTATCTGCAAGAAATTTCTGTTGTTTCACAGTTTGTAATTCAAATGCACTAACAACTAAACAGAAAAATTTTCAGATTCATACTTATTCAAATAATTGTAATACTTCAAAGTAACCCCTAAGTAACTTACACTAAAAATAATTGTACAAAAACCTCAGAGAGACAAATCTTGAGAATAAAGAATGAAACCTTTCTCTTTCTTTTATCTGTTAGTTGTTCTATAACACGTGCAAAAAAGAGTAATATTTGTATGCAAATAAATATAAACTTCTTTGTTTTATACTACACTTTTCAGTTATAACACACCATGGTATTTTGATTTTCAAAAAGTTTGTAACCTTGGAGCAAAATTACTAAAATGTATCTTCTTCACATATTGTAAATACTCATCGGCAGTACGGCCCTTTTTGTAGACTTATTAATCAAGCGTGCCACATTAGCTGGAAAACTGAAAAAAGTCAGGGAATTAAAAAATTGATAAAAAAAAAGCCAGGGAAAAGGTCAAGAAATTTTAAATATTTTAGTCAAAATCTGGAAAAGTCCAGAATTTTCT